GTTTCAAGTGCAGTTTACTGACAAACTATGATAAACATTAACCTGTTACCTCTGATCATGGGAGTAAACTCTAAAATTATGTAACAAAATGGAACATATACTGTGCACTTGTATGCAGTGATTTTCCCCTGAGGTGATTTTACCCTTCTGTCAGGAGCAGGGAGTTTAAGATGTTTAGGGGATGGGCTAAAATGGTGAGTGAGGTCAAATATAGTAGAGTCAGGGCTGGAAGTTAAAGGATGATCACCCAAGTTTTGGGAAACTGGAGGACACAGGAGGGAAAGAATGAAATAGAATACAAAGAGGTGTCAGAAAGGGCAGAAACAATGTTAACTCACTTGAAAGTTTCAACTCAAGAAGTAGTTGAAGAAAAGAGAAAGTGAGTCTATAGGAGAAAATGAAAAAAAGGTAAGAAGCCTAAACATTGAAAAAAGAAAGGAAAAAGAGAAAGAGAACAAAAATGAACCAAAGAAAGAAAAAGGAGGTGAGAGAAAGAGGAGAGAAAACTAGGAAAAAAAAAATAGAAACCCCAAATACAAACATAATCATCAAATACAGAATGAAATAAGACAGCATCCAATCAGATAGGAGAGGGATATCCAATCAGACAAACAAGGGAGAATGAAAGAAGTAAAATGCCTCTGGTGCTTACAGTTCTGTGATAGTGTCCACATTTAATCTCAGAAATGTGTTGGGTATGGAACTGACTTTGGCCTCTGGGTGTGGAGCCTGGAACTGGACTTCTGCTGGTGGAATTCTCTGGAGTTCAACTGCTGGCTCCTCGCTGCTGCGTCAGATACTTCCATGCTGCTGGTCTCACCAATTACTTTGCCCTCCAAGGGCGTATGTGAGCCCATGCACCTGGGACACAGCTGTTGTCCTAGGTCTCAGGTCTTGGGGTTTCTGTCAGTCTACTCCACAAAGGCGTGTGTCCTTACACTCCTCTCAAAGACCCCACTGTCCCTGAGACAATGGAGGACGCCCAGAGCATGGACACACACTCTGCTGGCAGGCCCTGCAGTTCCACAGAAATTATGTTATATTCTTTTAATTTTCTTTTCTGCTTTTGTCTTTCCAATTAGAAAAGGAATCCCAAAGAGACTTGCTGAGAGTGATGTCATATTTTCTTTTTCTTAAACCCAACAGAATTATTTTATTCAAAATATATATATGTATATGGAGTACAAAACAGAATATATGGTAATTTTATCTATTTCTGTTTTAATGTGGCATATTCTTAGGAATAGTGAAAATATTCATATTATAGGATGGACCCATGTTCAGAAATATTTTTTACAAAAAATAAACTTTATTTTTATTATCAGTTAAACTGATAAACTTGAGGCAGCATAGAACTCTGTACTGTAACTTTGTTCATGTCCTGAAACAAAAGACAGACAATCCTTCTAGTATTATATACTATTATTTATATATAGCAGTGATGTTTAGTTTTAAAATTGCAATATTATAACAAAATAATTCTGAGACATTTTTCTTCCATAGAAATACACCATGATTTTCTAATTGTATTTAGGTTTGAATAAAATATTTCCTTGAATCTATGTAGAGAGATATATAACATATCCTCTATGACATTATATCTGCTCTGCCTCATCCACTCATGTTTGCACTTGATTTGTTTCATTGTGCTTTATTTAGTAAACAGACTGAATCCTTTCTGAAGTGAAGTATGGTATGATTCAATTAATTAAAGTACATTTTGAAATAAACAATCACTTCTCTTTTCTACTCGTACATGTTTGCAGTACATAACATTTACATGCCTTGCAGGGAGTTGATACATGCATATAACACACCTTAATTTATTTCTCCAATGGAAAAATAGTAAAACTATGAACTATAGAGCAATCATGTAATCAAGTTAGGAAATATAGGGGAATATAGTTTACAACAATTGCATCATGATTTTGGTAGAAATTTATGTCTGAATTGTCTAAGTTGAAGTATTTTAAATTGTCCAGATTCTAGCTCTTTAGTGACAACTTTCACTCAGACTAAAGCCCAAGATTGTGACAAGGAAGCTCAGCCTACTGCTCAGTGTGTGTGAAGTCGTTCTCACACCCCCAATGAGACCCTGAATTATAGCCATCACACTTCCCCGGAGTGTAGCAGACCCCTCCCTGCCATCCTGAGTTCCTGCCAGGGAGGACACCAGAATCTGCTCCAAATGACCCCTTGCTCTGAGTCACAGTTCCAGGGCCTCAGAGACCCTTCCAGAGCAGGAGCACCCATGCCCTTTGGCACTAACACTAGCATTTGGCCAACACTTTAAGACACATATTGAGCAGAAATTTTAAAAAAATATTAAAAGTTAACAAAACTTTTGAGCACAAAAATGTCTCAAAAAAAAAGTCTCCTGGGGAGACTTATAAATTTACATTTCTAGAAATGGAGTCTCAGTATCTTACTAAAAAAAAAATACATAAACCTTGTTTCAGAAACAACCAATCTTAGAAAAGATACACTTTATTTTCTACATTGTATGAAGTGTGCTGCTCTGTTTCTTGACAATACTAGCTTAAAACAAAAATAATAAGCCTGTAAAAAGAAAAATGTTTTTTTTTTCAACTGGTAATCACAACGGCGTTTCTATGCTTTAAAAAAAAAAAAAAAGGAAAGAGAAATAAGTAAAACTTTAAAAAGAATCCAAAGATACAAAATAAATTTATCAACATATGTGATCTAGGAAGTTTTTTCCTGTTGAGATGAACAATTTGGAATTGCTCCTTGAGAAAATGCAGTAATATTTTAAACCAATAATCATATTTATTTGGGTAATCTTAGTTTATGAAGATACAAATCAGCTGGTTTCAGAAAACAGCTGAGTTTTTTTTGGGTTTTACCTTTTATTGTCAGTGTATTGACAATAGGTGTTTACTGTTGCAATCAAGAAAAGGGGAGTCTGGTTTCAGCAACAGCCTATATCAGATTTATTCCTACAAATAACAGCATTAAAGGACTTTGAAATAACTGTCAACAATTATCTAAAGCTGGTGTGACATGGGTTACTGACATCTGAAACTTCCAATGCTTATAAAATCATGATCTTCAGAAGTAATGCCTATTGGATCACTTGTCTCTACACACTATCACTAAAAACAATAAGCTAGATTCTTAACTTGAAGAAGAATTTCTCTTCTTTTGAATCACACAGAATGAAAATCTGACCCACTACACAAATACTCACTAGTACATCTTTTAAAATGTACATTGGATTGTATACAATTTGTGCTTTGAGTTCTTTCATTCTCTCTTCCTTTCTTTCTTTTTTTATCATATCCAATAGAGATCTCTGAGAAGGGTAACCTAGCCCTAACAACACTACCTTTTTCCAGGATGCCTGCCAAGTGAGTACTTAGGAGGATGGCCCTCGGGCTGGGAGGAGGCCTTATCCTCGATCTGGGGACCAGACACAATCCAGAGGCTCCCTGGAGGATAGGTGTTATCTGATATCACTTTTCCATTTCTGACTAAATAGATATCAGTAGTTTCCAAGGAGTTAATATTTCAAGTTACACCCATAAATACACTTCTTTAGCTGCTTCCTTAAATTTAGCATTCATATCTTTATTATTTTTAGTGTCTTATTCAGAAATGGTAACTCTACAATAGACATCTCTCATTAGGAAAGGATGTGCAGATTTTCAGCCCTTTATTGAATCTGGTTCCCAACCTCTCCAATATTACTTGACCTGGGTTCTTTTAAAAGAGAGTGGTTTGCTCTGTGCTTTAGAATTTTTCACTTTCATGGATTTGTTGCTGTTTGTTTTGCCTTGGGGATATTGTCATAAAGCTTATAGATATTAATTTAAGTAATATATATCCTTTCTATATTTTATCAATTTAATTTCCCCCTGGTTTATTCCATTTTTAAAGTATTTATACACCAATCTGACAATCCATGAACATCAATCATATGACATGATTTAGGCTAAGGTTTACAATCATCTCTACAACAGCTCAGAGAATTTTGTTTCTCTTCTACCACAAGGGCCTTATCCCTGCAGATCTCTATTCACTAAGTTAGGGCCCCAGTGGCTGTGCACTTTTAAAACCTTTAAAAATAGTTGTTTTTATTTCCACCTGGAACCATGGTGGGGGCAGAAGAGAGGAAAACAATTCCTGCTGTGGCAGAAACCCTTCAGCAAAAGTGAAGACATTTCACAGAGCCGAAGGTAAAGCACCTGAGAAAGAAGTTCACCCAAAAGATGCCTCAAAAGGCAGGAGGAAGCTCATGTATGAAAAAGCCAAGCAATATCACAAGGAGTATAGAGGGACAGATGCGCAGAACTGAGACTGGAGTAGCTAAACTGGTGAGAAAAGCTGGCAACTTTTGTGTCCCAAAGATCTGCAGGCTGTTGCAGATTCTTCACCTCCCTTTCCTTCAGTACTGCCCTTGTAGCTTAACAAGGCTTTGGTTAATGCGCTGAGGACTGTGGAACTGAATGTTGCATGATCACCAAACCTAAAGTTGGTAAATGAAATAATCTACAAGCAGGGCTACAGCAAAAGCAATGCAAATTGCCTTGACAGATAATGCAATTGCTCAATCTCTTGGAAACTACGGCACCACCTACATGGAAGATCTGATTTGTGAGATCTACACTGCTGGAAAATGCTTCAAAGGGTCAAATAATTTCCTGGGGCCCTTCAGATGATAGCATTTTGTCCACAAGGTGGAATAAAGAAAAAGACTACCCACTCTGAGAAGATGGAGATGCTGGAAATAGGGAAGACCAGACCAAAGGGCTTATTGGAAAGATAAACTGAGGGCATTTTTATGCTCTTGACAGTTAATAAAGAGGGTCTGCTCCCAAAATGAAAATATTAATAATTGTTGTAAATGGCCCTCGGTAATTGAAATGAGCAGTCAAATGATTTGGGATCTAGAGAACTCAGATACCTTTCTTGAGGCTAGTGATTTCAACATGCAACAGCAAGCAGAAGCACCAAAAGGATTTGGAGGCAGATTTACTTACATCAACAAGCACTGATCTGGATCATTCCCAGAATATCAGGTCCTGATCTTTGGTGGTCTAGGGCTTATATGGGATGAGCAAGCAGGAAGCACAGAGGCAGAATGGCTTGTCAAATGGCGACTGGTTTATACAATGTGCATCATAGTGACCAGCTATGCATCACAATGACCAGCCATTTCTAAGAGACAGGAGCAACTGGAACTGGAACAGGAACTATTTCCTGGGCAACTAACAAACTGAAGGTTTTTGCAGGGAGCGGAATTTTCTGCTGCAAAAGAACAGAGAATGAACTAAAACAAGGAAGCTTTAAAAGCTACCCAAAAATCCTATTATAAGATTTAATGGTGAGCTTTAGTGAAAATACTAAAACACACTCCCTACCACTTTAGGTTTATGATTCCTACTTCCAGTGACAAGACTAGAACCTGGATACCTTGCATTTCACCTTTCCTATATTCCCAATATTTTGGCAATCACAGCCCATTAACAATTGAACCAATAGGCAGGGAAGAAAAGAGGAGAGAAAAAGGAAACTAGCAGGGTCTGGGATAAATCTATCAGAAATCAGTATTGTCTTTTTCCCTGAAGTCCTTTCAACACTGTGATGTATATGATTTTACATACATCTTATGGCTGAGAAAACTGCTTCAGAATAATTGTACCATTTTTCCAAGTTTACATCACTAATAAATGGTAAAAGAAGGAGTCTCACCCAAGAGCTCTTGGCTCCTAATTCATATTATTTTCACCAACTCCAAAGAGAGATCAAATATTTGTTTTATTATTCTCTGGGGAATGGGAAAAGAAAAAAGGAGATGGACAGTTGAAAGAACATGTCAGTACAGTTGCATGATTATTTTGAGATTTAAAGCCGTAGGATTTTCATACTACCGTGCACAATGCCCACTTGATTTTGCACCAGTGGAAAAAAAATCCAAGTTATTACAGCACGTTATAAACCACAAGAGTCAGGGAATTGTGTGTACCTGCATCCAGACAGCAAAGAGGGAAAATACACTCCACCTTCAGCATAGCTCCTCTGACCCTACCGCCTCACCTGCAAGAGACACTTCTTACACAAGACAGAGAGGAAGTTCAAGTGCCATGTCATTCAACTACGGAGCCTTGGTTACTTCTGATGAACTTGATCCACATTTTAAATAAGTGCTCTCTTCAGGCTCCATCTCCCTCCCCCTTTTGTGCAGCTGTCACTTTCCCAGCTCGGAGAAGAAAAAGAAGAGGTGTGGTATGGTGTGTGTGTGTGTGTGTGTGTGTGTGGGTGGGTGTGTGATACACACATGAGAGGTTTATACTAATTCTTATATCTTCATATTGTGTATGTAAAGAGAGAAAAATCAGAAATCAAAACACCATGCAGCAATCAGAAGATGTACAAAAACCTAGCTCCAGTAGAAAGGTCTTGGAAGTAGAACCTGTGAGAAGTTCTACAGAGGCCTTTAATGGGCAAAGGGAGGTTACATCATGTCTGGTGATAAGAGGGACAGCTTGCATACTGTCACAAAGGAAAAACTACGAGAAATGAATGTGCGAGGATTACTAATAATACGTGCTTTCATGAAGTGGTTTGAAATATACTGAATCTACTCTTAGTCACTGCACTGAATGTCAAGGATGTAGAAGCCACTGAGATGTATTTCTGCCTTCGAGAAGCTCACTGTTTAACAATGAGATGAACAAATGCTAGAACATTTCCAGAGAATGTGAACCTCACAACCATGGGAAAGACTAAGTGCCATGGCAAGTGCAGAGGAAGAGTCAACCAGAGAGTGCTTCACACGTGCAGCAGAGTCTCAGGAAGGAATAAGCTTCCCAGACAGGCAGGGAAATGAAGAGTAAGGGAGAAGCAGGGAGTATGTACAAAGACAAGGGATGAGCCCACAGAGGGATTTTTAGAGAACTGGAAAAAGAAAAATTTTACCTAAGCACAGATTTGATGAGATAAATTAAGCATATTGATAGAGTAAGTATTTAGCCAGAAGCAAGCTGGATCTGGGAAACCGGTCACAGGGCCCTAAGAGAAAAGGGAAACTAGCAGCAGGGTTTAAGAGAAAAATTCTAAGAAAGGCCGTGGTCTAGGTTTCCTGAGCTTGCCAGCCCCAGGCGTCCTGAGAAGAGTACTTTGTGCCCGTTTGCAAAATCCCCCTCACCTACCTGGCCTTACACCTGGTCACCTCACTTAGGCACACCTTGAGGCACAAGACCTCAGTAGATCCATGGCAACCTGGGCCCAGTTAATCCTCACTTTGTGTGCATCTATACTGCCATTCTGGCCTCCCCGACGGGTTTTGGTCACCATGCTCATTCCAACCAGTTCTGTATAACTTCAAAAATTCCCCCTCCCAAAGACGTGAGAATGGAGACTCACAGCTGATAGGAAAAGAACCCCATGAGCTGCCACCACCCCAGCCCCTCCTTAAATTCCAAAGCCTCAAATGGAAAACCCACCCTGCACCTCAGGGCAGACATCTCTTATAGGTCCTGCTTGCTTGGAACTCTCCCAAGTATACACTGCTCCCAAAAAGCTACCTTCTTTGTTGCTCAATAACATGCTTTAAAACTTCTGTTTCCTGATTCTGAGACCCAAGAGCCAAGGCCACTATACAGAAAAAAGCAGCTCCCACCCCAGGCTTACCCCTGACTTTCAGGTAACAATGATGGACTGCAGTAGAGTAATGGAATATGTCCTCCCTCTGCCCTCAGTAGAAGCCAGAAGTTTTGGATTTAGAAACTGATTCTGATACTTCATTGCTGTGGGTCACTGGGCAACTGAGCTTCTCAGAAAAGGCACCGATACCTGCATGGGACACTACAGAAGTAAACATAGAGTCATGAACCCAGTCTGGAAGAAGGGTACCTTTTGGAGAAGTAAAGTGTGAGGCTGACATATGAAAAACAAGATCAGGTAAAATGTCCAGGCTGCAACATAGGAAAAGATTTGGAAGTAAAAGAGAAAACATGGCAACTTGAAAGGTTTAAATGTTTATATGACTGCAACATGAAGCAGCAAAAGTAAAAACTGAGGCTTTCACGGCAAGACAATAGACAAAAGAGTTCACCTCCCATTGATGGGCTTGTGGTGAAAGTGAAGACTTTTTTTGTTTGATTTCTGGAAAGTAACTGAAAAAGATGAGAAAGATGGATTATGTTACAGGCTTAAGAATTAATTGCAGGAGAGTTGTACTAGAGTCCAATATACCAGTGAAAGCACAGTGTGGTCAATAAAGTAGCACTTGAAATAGATTCAACCAATACGGTAGACAAAACTAAGATCTTCATGATTGGTTAAATACACGAATGAGAGAAAATAAAAACTAAGGATGAAAATCAGTTTCTAGGCTTAGACAATTAGGGGAATGGTAGTTTGCTAAACAATGAAACACTGAAAAAGGGCCCAGTTTGAGAGAGAAGGTGAAGGTCTTCATTTCAAGTAGTAAGTTCGCGGTATCTGTAGAACATTCATGTGGAGCTCTCCAGTGGCACTTGAATGTATGAGTTTGCAACTCAAAAGAAAAATCCAAGTTGATGATTAAAAAGCCATCAAATTATACACATATGCACATCTTTATATATAAGTGGAATAGTATAAGCATTTGAGCATATAGGTATGCCGTGTGTGTGTGTGTGTGTGTGTGTGTGTGTGTGTGTGTGTAGTGATCAGGATTGAACCTCATATGTACTAAGCAAGTGGTCTACCACTGGACTACTCCCCAGCCATATAATCTTTACTTCTTTACTTGAAACACTGTGAGCCTTTTGTCTGTGGTTATTTTTCATTTTTTTAATAAAATACAGAACATCTAACTTTATATCATAACTTCCTTTGTATAAAAGGGGAAGTTCTCCATGTACATAGACTATAGAAACCAGGTTTTAAATAAGTACAGCTATACTTACTCAAATTTCTCATTGTGGCTATTGCTGCTGCTGCTGCTGCTGTTGTTGTTGTGGCCTGTGAGAATACGTGCTATTAATGCAGACTATCTATTCTTTCTAAATCCCTCCAAGTAATAGATCACACAAACTTAAAATATTCAGGCATTTTTTTTTCTAACCAAGGCCAATTCTCTGTCTCCTAAACTCCCCATCTCATTCATGGTTACCTGTACTCCTAAACAACTTCTTCAACAAGTGTCCTCCAAATTCACCCTTGAACCCTGGCGGTATGTGTCAACTGTCTTAGTACCCCCATTTCCATTAGGATATCCCATTAGCATATTTTGGAATAACAGAGATTCTTCCATAGACTGGCCACAAATTTACTTCTCTTTGATGTAAACTACTGCTTCTTCTCAAAGCAACATTAGGAACAAACTTAGCTCCATTTCACTTAGACATCCTTTGAAGTATGTGTGTATGTGAGAGAATGCGTGTGTGTGTGTGTGTGTGTGTGTGAGAGAGAGAGAGAGAGAGAGAGAGAGAGAGAGATCAATATACTGTTTTGTACACCAAAATGTCCATAGATAATCTCTCTTGACTGGATCTTAGGAAATCAGTTTCCCTATTTGAGTGTTCAAATTAATGCAAGCTAAATTTAATCTGATATAGTTTTTCATAACATTTCATTTAGGAATGAAAAATCCCATTTTTCTCAAAATAATTCATTTCAACAAACATTTACGTCATTTGAAAATTACTAAGAAATATACAGATAAATGAGAAATTTGTTTTCTTTTTTTTTGGTGGGAGGATTCAAGAGAGGGTCTTACTATGTAATTCAGGTTAGGCTTGAACTCACTTATATAAACCAGACTGGCCTTGAACTCATGACAATCCTCCTGCCTCAGCCTCCAGAGTGCTGGGATTACAAGCATGCACCACTATGCCCAGCAGAAATTTCTGTTTTCAGCCATAATAGAATAACAGACCAGAAATAAATCCTACTTGAAACAACTAAAAAACTATACAAAACAGTTTTCACATATTAGATAACAGGTAGCAAAAAGATAGCAATTCCTAAAAGAAATAAAACAGGGGGCTGGGGATTTAGCTCAGCGGCAAAAGCGCCTGCCTGGCAAGCGCAAGGTCGTGAGTTCAGTTCCCGGTACCAGAGAAAAACCAAAAAAAA